CCCATTAAAGGGCATCCTCTCAATATGCCTCAAATGTTTTGCAAATCAACACTTTGAGCCAAAGAATGCTTCACATGTGTACTACAAGAAGGCTTATTCTGGATATTTGGTGAAGTATATTCACTTATTTCTTCCTGCCGTAGCATTGGGGAAAAGGCAGGAGCTTCAGCTGTCATTGGACAGATAGATGTCAGAATGAATCTAGGGTCCTGAATTATGCGATTAGTCTAGTCCGCAAAGGTCTGGCTGCTCTGGCAGACTGACATGGTTACAAAAGCAGGACCAGTCAGAGAAAAGAAGCAGGGCTTCAGTGATATATGAAAGGCAAAGAGCCCACACTTACTGGGCAAACAAGGCCACTGAGGTGAGGAAAGCAGATGTTAAAGAACTATGAGGTGATTGCTTTTCACTCACCTCATAGTTCTAGCCGACCTGTGACAATGAGACTGTCACAGGTCGGCTCAGTAGATCGGGAAGTGAGCGAACACATACCGGCGCTCGCTCACTTCTCGATCCTGTCACAGCTCTTTGCCGTGACAGGGGAGGGGCTGGATTCCCCCCTTCTCCAGCACTGACTGGCAGAATGGACAGGAGAGGGTACAGCTGGCTCTGCCACTAGATAGGCAGAGCCAGCTGTCACTCACACAGCTGGGCGGATCTAGACATAATTGTCGGGATCTGCTTCTCAGTATACCGCAAGCTGTAGCTCGCGGTATACTGAGCCTTGGGTGACAGGAAGACGCTAGTTTGTGTCCTCCCGTTACCCTAAGGAGAACTATGGGGAAAAGCCTTAACCCTGATTTGTACAGCTTAGAGACAGGTTGCTTGAAACCAAAGTATATTAACTAGAGGTGCACCAAAATGGAACTTAGTCAGATAAAGTCAGCACCAAAATCGAACATTGTTCCAACCTTTTTAAAATTGTCTTCACTTTACTGTTTGGGGCAATATCAGGGGTCTATAAGGACCTAATATGAACAGGAAGCCTCTATACAGAGTACTCCTGTCCAGTCATAAACTGAATATCAGTTGCCATGTCCACAATTATGTATGAACAAGGCATGTCTCCTTCCAGAGTTTGTCTGTCACAGGGGGCAGAGCTGGACGGTGTGGGAGGAGAGCTCGGTCTCCTGTGACATATTTGACAGCGCTCTCCTCCCTGCCCCCTCCGACAGAGCAGCGACTAGCAGGGAGGAGAGAAACCAGATGCACCACAATTTCGAGCCCGAGTACCATTTTCGGCATCCCTAATATTAACTACAACTCTTTTGGGGTTGTACATGCAGAGTATAGTAGGTCTCCACACCTAAGTGTTAGGACACATGGAACTTACAGATTAGGGTTCCCTTCCCAATCAACCCCACCTTTCCTTTCAAATCCAGTTAATTCCTGTGGTCAGATACTGAAGACTTTACGGTCATTATCTTTTTTCCTACTATATTCCAGCTTAAGTGACTCCCACCCTACTGCCTTTATGAACTCCATGTTAATCATTCTTGTTAATAAATCTGAACTGTATTTTTCTATAATCACACGTATCTTTAACCGCTTGAAGACCAGGTGTTTAGACCCCCTTCCTGGCCAGGCCATTTTTCAGTGTGGGCGGATGTAACAGGACGTGTATACACGCCCAGTTACATCCAAGAAGCTCCCGGCAGGCCGTGTATACACAGCGGCTGGCCGGGAGGTAGTTAAAGATGTAAATAGTAGGGATGCAGATACCGGTTTTGCAGTATAGAGTACGAATATTCCCCCCGTTACTCGCCGATACCAAATACCGGAAGTCCCATTAGAAAGGCAGGCAGTGTGTAATGACTTGCTGCCTGGCTTACCGATACTAGAAGTTCCGGAGTAGGCGTCGGGAGCATTTGGGCGAGTACTTGCCCAAATACTCGGCATTGGCTTAGATACCAGTATAAAATTGTATCCCTAGAAAATAGACGTAATCGCCCTGCACTAATACAACTCAACAAGATGACTGAACTCACTGTAGATACAAGAAATACAAATGCAGACAGACAAAAACATAAGAATATATTTATTAAAAAAGCATCAGATATAAAAAAATCCACAGAACCAGTCTGATTGTACATTTTAAAAAAATATAAAAGTTCATTTTATTGGCCACCATTGGCAGTTAAATTCCAAGTAACTGCATCTTGAGGTCAGGGCCAAAACAGCTCCAATAAGTTACTTTGAATACTGCAAGTCTCCATTTGCACTGTTACCTGCTCCAGAAATGACCTGTTAGACAAAGAATATAGTTAAATCACTTGCCTTTGCTCATACAGATGAGTGCTGCCCATCATTACAAAGGCTAAGCTGAAGAGACCACTAAAATATCAAACATTCTAGAAACATACCAAGCCTAGTGAAATATACAGTTATAGTGCCGCTACTGGAGAAGATACGGAGATGCATTGAATGAACCAGTCATAATGCAACAATTATCTTCATGGGCCAAAACTTACCTTTAGCAACATGTTTACCTAGCTCATGCCCCAGGAACACCAAGTGTAGATCCCCCTAATATGTCTGTACTAAAGGACCTTTCGCTGATGTGTGTTGAGATGGCCTGCCAAAAACAGACATGCACCAGAAGTGTAACAGCGCTGGTACACTGTAGAGCATGCGCTTCATATTGTATTTGTGCACATTGGTATCAAAGTGAGTAGCATCACAACAAAGTACACACATTCAAATCATAACTAGATGGAATTTGACCAAATTACCCTGTTTCCCCAAAAATAAGACCTAGTACTATTTTTGGGAATTGCTCAAATATAAGACCTACCCCGAAAATAAGACCTAGTTGTGACCATTCCCAGGGCCAGTGGTGGCATATGGGGGAACTTGAAGAGCCCCGGGAGAGAATCAGCGGTGCCAACGAAGCCAGCGCTAGAGGAAGCAAAGCGGCACCGGAGGGAGCAGAGCTGCATAAGCCGATGCTTCCTCTATAGCGCCGGCTCCTGTCACAGGCGTAGTGATACCAAATGCACTCCACCTGTGAGGAATCCATAGTGAAAGTGCGCTTTGCTCATTCTGGCCAGAGATTGGTTACCAAATTGCTCTTGGAAAGGTACGGCACCCCTGATCACCATATTTTTGTTAATGAATACATGTAGACTTTTCTACATGAATAAGTGTGGATTGTTGTACATTAAAAAAAAAAATAAGACCTAGTGTTTTTTTAAGCCCAAAAAAATATAAGACAGTGTCTTATTTTTGGGGAAACACGGTAGAAAAATAAAACCATTTCAGGCAGGCACCGAAATTGACACTTACTAGCTTTTCTAAAATGTATTAGATATTTTACTTTATTGTTGGGGGCTTTGGGGAAATCAGGGGTCATTTCCCCCTTTAAAAATGATTGATGTCACAGGCCATTCATAAATTGAGATGGAATCAGTTACTATGTTCACAATCATGAAGGTGACACAGCAAGCATACTAAATCATCAGTGATCAGCTGATTGCTTAAAATGCCACTCTCCATCCTGACTTGCCTGTCACTGGAGGCTAAGCGAGGAGGTGAGAGCAGCGCGGTCTCCTAACAGCTCCCCGTCTGTCACAGGAACCACGCAGGGCGGTGCGGGAGAGCTCCGCTTCCAGTAACAGTCTACAGCTCGCACAACATCCTGAAACCTCTTCTCCCTGCTGAGCGCCAGTCTGTGTGCCCCCGTATCACTGCTGCCTCTGGCGGGAGAGCAGCAGGCATCAGAGGGGATACAGACCCGTACCCAGCAGGGGAGTAGAGAAGCAGTCGGGATGCACTGAATTTTCAGCCGTTACGGTTGATTTCAGCATTTTGCACAAAGTACCATTTTCAGCCGAAATGTCAGTGCATCCCTACACAACACATGTGGATTCCTGCAACATGCAAGTGTGAATAGGCAATTGTCCCTAAGCCTGACAAGCACATACCCTCTGCAGAGATTAAGGAGCTATGTGGACCAAAGATGGGCATTACATCGAAATGCCTAAACTCAAAAATCAGATGGTGACCAGCACTTTCCATAGTTATTGGGGCCCAAGAGAGTTCTTAGCACTTGCAAGAACTGGAGCTCTAGGTTACAGTACTGAAAGTCTTCTAGATATAAGAGACCCAACTAAATAGAGATTCCATCATGCATTTGCTCTGAGGGTCAACAGTTTAGACCCGCTAAACAAACACACATCTGACACAAAGATAAGTTACAGCAGCACTGGTCTAGAACCTGGTAACATTAGATATGAAGCTGGTTTCTTGGAAACAGGACTGCCAATAAAAAGGAGAAACATTCAAGACAGTAAATTATCTACAATTGTAAGCACAGAACTCTGAGGTCAGGTCAGCGCATGAATGCTCCCATCAGGACACAAAGTTTCAACAGTGGCCTGCAGAAAAGTTGAAGAAATAGGTGTCACTGGGTTTAGGTTTTGAGTTACCTGCAGCATCCTGTTGGATTTCAGAATTGGACCACGAGTGTTTCATTTGTTAAAACGAAGTTCAGTCTTTGTCAGACTGCTTGTCCACTTTCAAACCAATGCTGAAAATTCCAGCAAGAAAAAAAAATACCTTACTAGAGTCTCACAAAACTTTGCACAAACTTTAAAAAAAAAAAAGTTAAATAAAAAAAAAGTATATTACACATTTAAAAACTAAAAAAAAGTTACATTTAAAGCTCAAATAGCAACTATACTGTAAACTGATATTTTAATAGAAAGAAAATAGTTCTTACCTACAGAAGTTTAACTGAAGCTTAGCACTACTTTGCTCTACCCCCTCAGCTTTTCGTGGACATCCTTAAATCTAGTGTAGTAAAACCTTTATCCAGAACTTTAGCTCAGTGATAAACGACTGAGCTTAGAGGCGCCACTCATTGCTTCTCTTGCACTAGACCTGCGTGTCTGGGTAGAGTACCTCGCTGGGGATAGCTCCTTTACTCGCCATGGATGAAGCAGCTGCATCTAAAAGATCTGAATAGGTGCCTCTCTCTTTGTAGAGATAGCCCCTCGTTATCTACGTTCTTTTCTCCTTACAACTTATAAAACACACATACACTTTACAGCTTTATTTACAGAACACTTTGTACTACACCTTTCCTTCACACAATTCAATACATACATCTAAAAAGAGACAAGCCTTTCCTTTCGAATTGTTTTTTATTAAATGAAAGTGTACAACAGCTTTAACTATACACACACTGAAATTTAAAATGAAATAAAAAAAAAAGTCTCAAATTACACCATGATCCTGGCTAGTTGCTTTAAACTGTTCATAAATCTTATAAAAGTGTCACGTTACCTGCAACTTAAAGTGAACATTATCAAAAAGGAATGCTGCTGCACTCTTTACAAAGACCACTACAAATAAACATTTAAAAACCTAAAAACTGTCTCAAAGGTATATTTTACAGTCCTTCCTCCATTGTAAGGTAATGTACTTAAATATATCCATTCCATTCACAAAATGGCTCTCTGTATCTGCTCTGGTGTCTTCTGTCATATCACTGCATGTTCTACGCATGACTGAGATAATGACTCCTTAACTTTGTAATCTCGATAACCTGCAGCTGTGTTACCTCTGGGCTCTCATCCTCTCCTATTTATACAGTGAAGCCTGTTTCAACAGAAGTAAAGGGTAAAAATAGGTTATGATTATATCCAGCTAGCCAGTTTAAAGACAATACACTATCCTGATAAGCTTAACCTGAAGCTAAAGAGCTCAGCATTTTTTTTTTAATACAAAACGGAAAAAAAGAAAATTCAGAATATGTTTTGTTCACTTACCCAGAAGGAACAAACGTGAAATTAATAACGATTTCTTCCTCCATAGCCGCCGCCGCCAGCACTACCTCCACTGCCGCTGCCAGGGCCATAGTTACCTGGAAGAAAACAATTGTTTTAGAACATTGACCTGCACAATCACAATGCCAGGGTCACTAAAGTGTCAAGTCCACCTGTATTACCAAACATCAAAGAGTTTATTTTCAAATTCCACTGCATATGATTGGCTGTTTGGCATGGACACAGGAACACTTAACACACATCAGTGAAGTCAGGCCCATAGGGTGACACCTTTAGAACAGCATGACACCTTCAAAATGTCAAGATACAGGAACTGTCTAAAGACCATAAAGATTTAGGATAAACCTGCATCCAGATCGTGAACAAAAGCTAAATTTTTACCAGAAACGCTGACACTGCAAAAATCTTGCAAGTCTTTTACCTGGTCACATTATCCATGCGCCATCTTTCCTAGTCTGCTTAGAATTAGTCTGGGATGAGTTGCTACTAACTGAGGAAACTGATGTAATAGTTTCCCACACAGGAAGTGCTTTCCCAGAAACCAGGCATGTAGAACAGCCCTATGCCCTTTCCCTGCCAGTAACCATTTATAGTTTTAAAGAAACTGAAGCTGTCAAATTACAAGACAGGAGGAGCCACACCGTTCTCTGCAGTGACAGTATATTCCCCTTCTGCAAAGGAAGCACAAATCACACACTAAAAGGTGAGGAAAGCCTCTGACCTCTGCTGTTCAGCCTACAGGTCTGAGAATCCAGATCCTGCACAGCGGTTGGGAGACCTTCAGGAAAAACCACATCAAGTTTTGTAACTATACGTGCACCATTTTTAGAGGTGCACCATTAGTGTTTCTTTGGCTCTCAAAGCATAGGGGAGAATTTAGAGCCTTTTCCAGGCGTTATTGCTGTTACCATTACCCGTTAATCCACTCCCTAAACTGTGGTCACCAGGGCAGGAAGTGAGTGATCTCCCTGCCATACACATCCTTTACTTCAGCTATATAAATGATTGGATGCAGTTAGATGGTCCTGTTGCTGGTATTAAAGTGCTCCAGATAACTGAAATCTATTGTAAGACAACACAATGACTTCAGCAGACTGCACACCGATTAGTTACACTTCACTAAATAAAGGCCATCAGTGTTGTATTGACTAAATCAAAAGGGAACGTGCATGTCAAGGTGCTGCGTACATTGCTGGCACTATAGAAATATCTAATAAATCCATAATCCAGGCAGCACAAGTACATTGAATGCAGAGGACAGGAAGTAGCCAAGCATTCATTTAAAGTCCGTCTTGTGCTCCAATATGTCAGATATTACACTTGGTAAACAAAATGTTGGGAATTTAATCTAATCTGGGGCAGCTGTGCATGGCAACCAATCAACTTCTCCCTTTCATTATCAAAGCTTAACTGAACTGAAGAGAGAAGCTGATTGGTTGCCATGGGATACTGCTCCAGATTCTGTCTGCTCCAGTTTTGATAAATCTGCTTATGCTTTGCATGACTTCAGAAAAATACTGAATGTGCAACACTTTCAGGCCTGACTACCACCAATGCTACTACTACCTCCACCATATGGTCCTCCCATACTTCTGCTGCCCCCGAAGTTTCCACCACTCTTCATTGGGCCATAGTTAGAAGACTGCTGATTGTAGTTTCCGAATTCATTGTAGTTTCCTCCTCCTCCTGCTCCACCGTAGTTACCTGTGGCAATACATTGATTTGAAAGGGTTTCAATACATGAACACAAGGTTAGTTTGGTTTTAAGCAAAGTCAAACTAGTTACAAAGTGCAGTCACATTTCCACAAGACTTAAGTAAAGCTTTGTATATCAAGTCTATTGTAGTAAAGATCTAAAGTACTTTACCTGCGCCATAGTTATCATATCCACCTCCATATCCACCACCTTGATTGCCATAACCGGGACCGCCACTACCACCACCACCGCCGCCATAGCCACCGCGTCCACCGCCATAGCCAGGTCCGCCTCCACCTCCAAAGTTACCACCTGTAGAAAACCATAAAAGGGGAAAATAAAATCAGTCAATATGTATCAAATGGATACTTGCAGAAACAAATTTAGGTTATGTGAACCCCAGTATAAGAATGAGAGCACCCCCCAGATCCCCATACTGGGGGGGGGGGGAATTAAATGACCTACACACTAAGCAAATCATAGAATGAGACAATACCAGCAAATGTGGCAAAGAATAAAAAGTAAAGGTTTCATCCTAAAGCCAACACAGTAGGAGTAACCTACTGCCTCCCAAGGCGACCCAGTTGTGTTTAATGTATTAGGACACTAGGCACCCTTGGAACATACTGATGGGATGACCATTGGTAATTAAAAGTGCTGCACTATATAGAGCCAGTGTTTAAATGGTGCTTCAGCTACTTGCCTCCTTGGCCTCCACCATATCCATTGTATCCATCTCCATAGCCTCGTCCACCACCACCACCTCCATAGCTATCTGTTTAAAAGAAAAGGATTCAGTATACATAAATATTTTAACAACAGATGGGGAGGGTCTGCAAACACAAAACACCAAAAGCACATGTAAGATCAGTCTTGGAATAATATCTACCTGAGCCTCCTCTAAAGTTGCTTCCAGGTCCGGGTCCAAAGTTTCCACCACCACGTGAATCACCAAATCCAAAATTGCCTCCTAAGAACCAAAAGCATTGTTAGCGACATTGCCAAGAATGATGTATGGCACCTAAGACACGGGATCTGTAAACATCAGTAATAGTCACCTCCTCTGCTGCTCCTGGTGTTCTGTACTTCATGCATTTCTTGTCTTGATAACGCTTTTCTGACTTCTGCATTGTGACCATTTATCGTGTGATATTTTTGCACTAAGGGGAGGAAAAATGACAAAATGTCAAATACTTGCACAATGCCCGCTTCTCAAAAGCAGATTCATTACAGGAAAGCAGCATTTTTAAGCTGCAGTTTAAGACTACTTACAAACAATTTTGTCAACGGGATCGTGGTCATCAAACGTTACGAACCCAAAGCCCCTCTTTTTGCCGGATTGTTTGTCTGTGATGATTTCTATGCTTTCGATTTTTCCATATTCCTCAAAGTATTCCCTAAGGTGATGCTCTTCTGTGTCTTCTTTGATACCGCCAACAAAGAGTTTCTTAACTGTAACATGGGCGCCAGGCTTCGCAGATTCCTGAAATTGAAAGGATGGGTCAACAAGTCTGATAGGAGAAATTCATTCACCCCCATCTGATAGGAGAAATTCATTCACCCCCATCTGATAGGAGAAATTCATTCACCCCCATCTGATAGGAGAAATTCATTCACTCCATCTGCAGGAGAAATTCATTCACTCCATCTGATAGGAGAAATTCATTCACTCCATCTGCAGGAGAAATTCGTTCACTCCATCTGAACATCTCTGAAAATAATGCAGAAGATTCATTATTACCTCTCTGGCTACAGCACGTTTAGGTTCCACAACTCTGCCATCAATTGAATGCGGGCGGGCTGACATGGCGGCATCAACTTCATTCATGGAAGAAAAGGTTACAAATCCAAAACCTCTGGATCTTTTGCTCTGGGGGTCTCTCATGACCTAGGAGGAAAACAAAAACACATTTGCAAAAGCAAACAATGTACATTTTGACTGGTCTTCAAACTGGACACATCGGACTGTCATCCCAGCTCCCATATTATACACCATCCAATCGGAACACTATCCTCTACACACTCCAAAAAGGCTCACACCAGAAAAAAAAAAAAAATCCTTTGAGCCCAGTCCCTTCACCTAGTCAGTCCCCCAGGTAAGAGATCTCAAACCTCAAAAACCAAACCTGTGTTGTGTTTTTTGGAGTTGTATTGTGAAATGTGTTCATAATAGATAAAGTCTGTCTAGGAAAAGCACACAAACAACCATGGGACCATTGAACAATCCTTACTCAACAGCTAAATCTCAAAAATGCATTCAAGCAGCCTATTAAGAACTGGACCTTATTTGTGAATCACTCAACTGTAGAACCTCAAATCATCTCTAAATTGGTGCTGCCCTACCTTCTGGAGGGCGGCTACTTTTCCTCTCCATGGTCCCTGTGTGCGTGTTGTAAAGTAGTCACCACTCCACGCTCACATCTGTGATGGACTACGATCTCGTGTTTAGTTTACCAATTTGTATTCCGATTGTACTCCATCACAGGTGTGAGCATGGAACAGTGGTTACTTTACAACACTCAGGGACCATATGGAACAAAAGTAGCCCCCCTCCAGAAGGAAGGACAGTGCCAGCACTAACTCATAGATGATTTGAGGATCTACAGCCGAGTGATACACGCATAAAGCATTTTTTGTTAATAGTTAAAGGTGTTTGAATGCATTTTAGAGCTTAAACTCATGAATGTAATTTAAGCAGGTATTACATATTCAGAAGTTATGCAGGACCTGAAGAGCACAGGAGAGCGTAACGGCACCAATTAGAAGAACGCCTTGACTACAAATAAAAGAAACATCTGCATCCAGATCTAATTATACTCCCAATTCCCACCACGAATAAACCATTCCCCAGGCACGGTACATCCCACATTCATGACGTGTTCTTACCACACAGTCCGTCAGCTTGCCCCATTGTTCGTAGTATTTCCTTAGACTTTCTTCTGTGGTTTCAAAGCTGAGTCCCCCGATGAACAGCTTCCTGAATTGCTCCTTTTCCCTCTGCAGAATAAATACAATAGACATGAAATCAGTGCACACATCACATCAGGCCATTGTCAGGTGAACACTTCAATCACAAGGGACACAAGGCAATCCATCAGCACCGGTATGATCAGAAGCTGCTGGCACTATGCTGCCTTGTGATCCATCGACTAATGTTTAATGTATAAAACCTGCAATGAGGCCATGGCTGGTACATACAGGGAACAATGCGTGTGCCTGCAGTTATCTCCATTGATGATTGTATTGAATATCACACGGTGATCACTTTAATTCAGAGATCAGATCCAGCTCCTCCTCCAGTTACCCATTATCAGCGATCAGATCATAATACGATCAATTAAACCGTCAATCCCCGTGATGAGGGGTGCGATATGACCAGACGATGGAGGGGACAGGCCGCGGCCATCTCATCCTCACACAATTGAGGAGACAAGATGGCGGCCAAGAAAAAAGCAAAGCCGCCATTACAGAGCCGGTTGGCCCCCCCTCCCCTCTTGTTATCGCAGCATTGAGAATTCGATGTCTTTCCTGGAAGACGTACAGAGGGCCGGTGCTCACCGTCCCAACATCAGCGTCCACGTTGCCCGCCATACCGAGCTGGCAAAAGTGCATCGCACAGCCCCAACCACCACTCCCTCAGCGCGATCCCCGGCTCGCTTACCTCCATGTTGCCCGAACACACTGAATTGAAGACAAAGGAATGGCGTTGATGGAAGAACGGATCCCTGTGCTTCTCTACCCGACGAGGGTTAGGCAGTAATGGCGAAAAGAACAGCCCTTCTTCTTCTAGAAGATTCTCTCGCCGGCTAGCGGCTACGCCCCCTTCGTCATACAATGCGTAGGTGCAGCCAATGGCGGCACGGTGGGCGGATCCCGGTCCTCGGCCGTTAGCGTAACCCGAGCTCTGTTGTCATGGAGGCGCTTCTTTAGAATGACAATGGGAACGCGGTGGGGGGTCGGCGCAGTTTTCGTAAACAAGCCGACAGTGAATAGAGAATGGGGGCTACGGTTGCAGATGTGAGCTTTGAGAATATGGCTACGCCCTTCTTGAACATGAGGTGCATCTGTGCTAAAATTGACTGGGAGAAAAGCGCAAGGGGTTCTGGGATATTTAATTCTATTGTCTCGTGTGCTTGTCTTTTTCTATACGAAGAAAAGAAGATGATACAATGGTGGAGTCTATGTACTGGTGCTGGATGTTTATTATTAGAGTAGGTGGAAGGGTCACATAACAGTGTGCTTAATTTGTGCGTGGCAGTGCCCGTTTCTGTGTTTGTGGTGCGTTACCGCACTTGGCATTGAGATATCCTGTTAAAAATGATGCACCCTAACACCTATATAAAGGTGATGCACCCTATATAAAGCTCTTGACCCTTTTTTTTATTTACGCAGCACAACATACTACCGTGCAGCATGCTTCATCACCTGTACACCGGAGTGCCATTCAAAACATGTTACATTTATTACCGCACATTGTAGTAATGTGCACAGTGCATTGTAAATGGTTCCATAGTCTCCTTTCACTCCTGTGCAATTTAAAGCGCTTTGGCTCATGCAACAACACACGACAATAGGAATCCCATTATTTTCTATAGGGCCCATTCACACCAATGCAAAGACTTAGGGCCACATTATTTAAAAGGTAAGGTAACCTTTTCACAACATATGAAACAATGAACTTACAGACACCTCCTGTTCCCCTCTCTCAGATGGTCTGTGCGCCTCTCAGGTGGGCTATGCGACACTCAAGTGTACTGTGTGCACTCTCAGGTTGGCTATGCGACTCTCAGGTGGGCTGTGTGCACTCTAAGGTGGGCTATGTGACTCTTAGGTGGGCTATGCGACTCTCAGGTGGGCTATGAGACTCTCAGGTGGGTTCTGCGACTCTCAGGTGGGCTATGGGTCTCTCAGGTGGCCTGTGTGCGCTTTCAGGTGGGCTATGCGACTCTCAGGTGGGCTGTCTGGGCTATGGTGTCTCACCAGGGGTCCGCAGGCGGGCAGCACGGTGTCAGGGAGCCGGAGGAGGAAGAGAAGGCAATGTGCGGCAGCATGTGCCTGTGTACCGGGCCCGCAGCTCAGAGGCAGGTCCAGTTTCAGGCAGATGCGACTGCCCAAGATCGCGCTTGCCGGGGACCTCAGCAGCCGCATCTGTCAGAAAATTTAAAGTGTCAGTCGGCATTGAGTGTCTTGTGTCCGGGTGTCCTCTGGCTGGACACTCGGACACAAGACTCCAAAACCGGACTGGTTGGGTGAAAACGGAATGGGTAGCAACCCTAACTGGAAGTAGTCCAAGTATCCCATCGCACTCCTGACCGGAAAATGCCCATGCAGCAGGGCGGGTGCAGCAGCAACAACGGATGCTTCCGTCAAAAACGTACAAAATAATAAAGTCCCTGGCACTGGAAGAAGGGCAGGTAGGCTGCTTTTGCTGGGAAAACTGTGTGGCGGCGAGCAGGGCTACATAGGAAGGGCTCATTCACTCAATGCTCAGTGCAAGGGCACATGAGAAACAATTGTTTTCTGCCTAGCCTGTTCACACCATACACAGTACAAACTACCGCATCACATGTCACCGTGCTGCAGCGTGGTGCAAGGCACTATGGTGCATCGAGTTAAATGAAGTGTAATTTTTGCTGATCATTCCCTGTAATGTAATATTCAAACATCACAGTGATCAGTACTGATCACTAATTAAAAAAATCAAAACAAGTTAAAAAAGAAATAAAGCACCCCACCCTACCCCCCATTATAAAATAAAAAGGTGGGAAAAAAAGTCATTTTTGGTTTCGGCCTGACAAATTCTGGTGCGGGAAGTGCCATTCATTTTAATGGAACCCCAAATGCGCCTCCCTTTATGTATGTAACACTCCATTTGTGCAATTTTCAAAAGGACAGAGCCGGCAGCCAGTGAGCTACCGGCTCTGTGCGGGTATTCTGACAGCGGCCGCGAAGACAGCAGGAGATTCCTCGATCAACACTCATAAGCGTTGATGGAGGAATCTGTTATATTTTCTTTGTTCAGTGGGCAGCTTAATGTAACCAACAGTTACTAACCTAATAATCTGAAGTGTTAGTGGCAGCAATTGAAAGCTGGCTGAAAGTAGTGGAATTTGCCGGAAAATTGTGTGTGGCCTGGCTGGTGATATGCTGAAAAGGCTATGTGAAAACAGTGGTAAGGCCATACCACTCCTTTAAAAAATGCTCCCACATTAACCTTCAAGAATTGTATTTATAATTTCAATAGAAAGCCAAATAGAAAGCCTAATCAAGCCAAATAGTGGTATCATAACAACCCAGGGAGGGGGTTCCCCTATCTGACAGCATAGGAGGGGGGAAGGATTACAGGGTATATAGACATCGCGTCTCTTTTTATCCTCGAGCAGCACAGAGTTCTCGAAAGAAGCATGCTCTGCCCGCCATCGCAGGGCCACGCCCCCTCACTCTCCACTTTTACAAAGCATAGCGATGTGCTTTACAAATGTGCATTGCGGTGTTCTGGAGTCCCGAGCCAGCAGAGTGCAATGATGATGAACGGGGAGCTAAAAAAAGCCGGGACCTGTTGAAGTCACATGTCCAGCTCTTCCCAATCAAAGAGTTCTCTTTTTGGAGCAATACCACAGACTGCATACTGTGGCCCGAATTGTGTGCAGTAATACTGCAAAGTGTAACAAAGAGCCGATAGTGATATCCACTGTTTTACTAAAAATGAACCTGATGTGATGCTGGCAATGAGCCTTGTAAATAAACACTCCATTTTAGCGGTCGGCTAGTGCATTGTAGCAGTTCTGGCCGTGTGCATTGTATCGCAGACTGCCAGAGCTGCCACTGTTTACATCTTTTTTTTTATCCTTATGTGTACACTCTATTCAGGTCCCCGCATGGCAGCACGGTGCACGATACAATTGTTTTCTATGTGTCCTTGCGGTGACCCGTGTTGATCCAGTGCGGTACAATGCAGATCACTGCAATATATGTGAACAAACCCTCAATCACACGACCAACAGCCGGCCCGTACAGATCTGTGCTGCGTGCACGACCGTATCGAGCCGCTCCCAGGAAGGAGAGGTGCTGCCTGTGTTTGTTCTTCTTTATGGGAGTATGCCGCCGTACGCTCACCCAAACTGCAGATCTGTGCGGGTGTCCCTACTCGGACGCAGACAGGATGGATCCTGTCTGCGTCTGAGCAGGGACACCCGCACGGATCTGCAGTTCGGGTGAGTGTAGGGCGGCGTACGGCCGCATATTACCATAGAGAAGAACAGGCTGCTGCCTGCAATCACACACAGCACCTGTCTTTCCCGGGTGCGGCCTGATACGGCCGTGCACGCAGCACGTATCTGTGCGGTTCGGCTGTTAGTCGTGTGAATGAGGCCTAAATGTGACAATTACTAAACATTGCCTGCAGGTGTATCTTCCTGGTGTAGGTGTTGTAAATTACAATGATTGATTCACCTGCAGTGAATATGTCACATTCACTTCTTTATAAATATGCCCCGCAGAGTGTGGTACAGGCTCAGTTGTAGAGGTCTTTAACATGCTGAAAAATCTCTTCTGTTCATTCATTCATTTTCCGCAAGAAAAGAGAACAAGGCTTTTATTGTGCTGGGCTGAACCACAAACCCTAGAAGACAAGTGCAGCAATGGGAGACCTCCTTTGAGTAGGGCAGGTCCCAGGATCATCACAAAGATCTGCCTGTTTATGGGCAGTCCATGATAAAGTAGAATCCTTTTCCTGATGTATTTATGGCACATTGTGCACAAGCTTGGTGAAACTTGAAAGCAATAGAAGGCTTGGCCTTTAAAATCGCTTTTCATCAATAATTCTAATGAAACAGTGTGAAATGCATAAGCATGCTCTGTATATTTGCTGTCTTTGAGGAAACACTCCATTACAGCTTGATTGCATTAAAACCACGCATATGTAAATAGAAAAGTGAGAAATTTGCATGAATATGAGTGGCTTTTTTTTACACTTTGGCTTCTATAACAAAAGCTCATTTGCATTTCCTTTCTGTGAACTGGGCAGGTCTGCAGGATTTATATGCATGCTAATACTAGCTGTGCCCCATGGGTAGAAACTTCCAAATCACCGGTGTGAAATGTAATTGCATCAGGACGAAAATAAATTCTGAATTATAAAGAGCTGATAAGATACCGATCATACAAAATCCTGAAATAAATGTTTAAAGCGACACTAAACTCAGGAGTTAAATCTTTAAAATACATTCAAGTGCCTTAACTATTAATAAAAATGTATCTTATTTGTGCATCACTTTGCTGTAGATCCTCAAATCATCTCTGAATTCATGCTGACACTGTCCTTCCTTCTGGAGGGGGGCTACTTTTGTTTCCTATGGTCTCTATGTGTGTTGTAAAGTAGCCACCGCTCTAAGCTTGCTCCCGTGATGGACTACAATTCCATGTTTAGTTTACTCATTTGTATTGAGATTGTAATCCATCACGGGAGCGAGCTTGGAGCGGTGACTACTTTACAACACACACAGGGACCATGGGGAACAAATGTAGCCACCCTCTAAAAGGAAGGACAGCGTTAGCAATAATTCATCTGACCCTGTGTACATTTTGGGTCAGATCAAAGTCAGTGCTTACTCAGGGCTAAGGACCCTTCTTACCCCAACAAGGCAGCATCCATGCTTGACAAATGAGTACTTAGGCACTAAGCCCACGCA